GGGTGAGTGGTAAGGTTGAGTGGTGATGTTGAGTGGTGAGCGTTAGTGGAGAGTGTTGAGGGTGAGTGGTGGTTGTGATGGTGAGTGGTGAGGGTGAGTGGTGAGGCTGAATGGTGAGTTGAATGGTGAGAGTGAGTGGTGAGGGAGAGTGGGGAGGGTGAGTGGTGAGGGTAAGTGGTGAATAGTGAGTGGTGAGGGTAAGTGGTGATGGTGAGTAGTGAGGGTGAGTGGTTAGGGGTGAGTGGTGGGGATGAGTGGTGAGGGTGAGTGGTGAGGGTCAGTGGTGAAGGTGAGTGGTGAGGGTGAGTGGTGAGGGTGAGTGGCGGTTGTAAATGGTGATTAGTGAGGGGTGAGGGTGAGCGTGAGTGGTGAGGGTGAGTGGTGAGCGGTGAGCAGTGAGGGTGAGTGGTGATTGGTTAGGGTGTGATTGATGAGGATGAGTGGTGAGGGTGAGTGGTTGTTGTGAGGGTGAGTGGTGATTAGTGAGTGGTGAGGGTGAGTGGTAATGGTGAGTGGTGAGCGTGAGTGGTGAGCGTGAGTGGTGAGGGTGTGATTGGTGAGGATGAGAGGTGAGTAGTGAGGGTGAGTGGTGAGGGTGAGTGGCGGTTGTGAGTGGCGGTTGTGAGTGGTAATTAGTGAGTGGTCAGGGTGAGTGGTGAGAGTGAGTGGTGAGCGTGAATGGTGAGTGGTGAGGGTGAGCGGTGAGGGTGAGCGGTGAGCGTGAGTGGTGTACACTTGGCGACACGTAAGCAAGTTTTTTTAAAAATGGGAATAGGGTGAGTGGTGGTTGTGAGGGTGAGTGAGGGTGAGTGGTGAGTGGTTAGGGTGAGTAGTGAGGGTGAGTAGTGAGGGTGAGTGGTGAGCGTGAGTGGTGAGTGTGACTGGTGAGTGGTGAGGGTGAGTGGCGAGGGTGAGTGATGAGGGAGAGTGGTGAGGGTGAGTGGTGAGTGTGGTGAGTGGTGAGGGTGAGTAGTGAGTGGTGAGCGTGAGTGGTGGGGGTGAGTGGTGAGTGGTGAGGGTGAGTGGTAATTGGTGAGGGTGTGATTGGTGAGGATGAGTGGTGATTAGTGAGGGTGAGTGGTGAAAGTGAGTGGTGAGTGGCGGTTGTGAGTGGTGATTAGTGAGTGGTGATGGTGAGTGGTGAGCGTGAGTGGTGAGGGTGAGTGGTGAGAGTGAGTGGTGAGGGTGAGTGGTGATTGGTGAGGGTGTGATTGGTGAGGATGAGTGGTGAGTAGTGAGGGTGAGTGGTGAGGGTGAGTGGTGAGGGTGACTGGTGAGGGAGAGTGGTGAGGGTGAGTGTGGTGAGTGGTGAGGGTGAGTAGTGAGTGGTGAGCGTGAGTGGTGGGGGTGAGTGGTGAGTGGTGATTGGTGAGGGTGTGATTGGTGAGGATGAGTGGTGATTGGTGAGGGTGAGTGGTGAGGGTGAGTGGTGAGTGGTGAGGGTGAGTGGCGGTTGTGAGTGGTGATTAGTGAGGGGTGAGTGGTGAGGGTAACCGTAAGTGGTGAGTGGTGAGGGTGAGTGGTGAGGGTGAGTGGTGAGCAGTGAGGGTGAGCAGTGAGGGTGAGTGGTGATTGGTGAGGGTGTGATTGATGAGGATGAGTGGTGAGTGGTGAGGGTGAGTGGTTGTTGTGAGGGTGAGTGGTGAGGGTGAGTGGTGAGGGTGAGTGGTGAGGGTGAGTGGCGGTTGTGAGTGGTGATTAGTGAGTGGTGATGGTGAGTGGTGAGCGTGAGTGGTGAGGGTAAGTGGTGAGCGTGAGTGGTGAGGGTGAGTGGTGTTTGGTGAGGGTGTGATTGGTGAGGATGAGTGGTGAGTAGTGAGGGTGAGTGGTGAGTGGTGAGGGTGAGTGGCGGTTGTGAGTGGCGGTTGTGAGTGGTGATTAGTGAGTGGTGAGGGTGAGTAGTGAGCGTGAGTGGTGAGTGGTGATGGTGAGCGGTGATTGGTGAGGGTGTGATTGGTGAGGATGAGTGGTGAGTAGTGAGGGTGAGTGGTGAAGGTGAGTGGTGGTTGTGAGTGGTAATTAGTGAGGGGTGAGTGGTGAGCGTGAGTGGTGAGTGCTGAGGTTGAGTGGTGAGGGTGAGCGGTGATGATGAGGAGTGAGGGTGAGCAGTGAGTGGTGATTGGTGAGGGTGTGATTGGTGAGGATGAGTGGTGAGGGTGAGTGGTAAGGGTGAGTGGTGAGGGTGAGTGGTTGTTGTGAGGGTGAGTGGTGAGGGTGAGTGGTGAGGGTGAGGGGTGAGAGTGAGTGGTGAAGGTGAGTGGTGAGGGTGAGTGGCGGTTGTGAGTGGTGATTAGTGAGTGGTGAGGGATAATGGTAATGGTGAGTGGTGAGTGGTGAGCGTGAGTGGTGAGTGGTGAGCGTGAGTGGTGAGGGTGAGTGGTGAGTGGTAAGGGTGAGTGCTGAGCGGTGAGGGTGAGCAGTGATGGTGAGCAGTGAGGGTAAGTGGTGATTGGTGAGGGTGTGATTGGTGAGGATGAGTGGTGAGGGTGAGTGGTGGAGGGTGAGTAGTGAGCGGTGAGGGTGAGTGGTTGTTGTGAGGGTGAGGGTTAGTGGTGAGAGTGAGTGGTTAGGGTGAGTGGTTAGGGTGAGTGGTGAGGGTGAGTAGCTTTTGTGAGTGGTGATTAGTGAGTGGTGAGGGTGAGTGGTGAGGGTGAGTGGTGAGCGTGAGTGGTGAGGGTTTGTGGTGAGGGTGAGTTGTGAGTGTTGAGTGATGAGTGGTGAGGGTGAGGGGTGAGAGAGTGGTTAGTGGTGAGGGTGAGTGGTGAGGGTCAGTGGTGAGGGTTAGTGGAGAGAGGTGAGGGTGAGTGGTGAGTGGTGATTGGTCAGTGGTGATTGGTGAGGATGAGTGGTGAGTAGTGAGGGTGAGTGGTGAGAGTGAGTGGTGGTTGTGACGGTGAGTGGTGAGTGGTGAGGGTGAGTGGTGAGGGTGAGTGGTGAGGCTGAATGGTGAGTTGAATGGTGAGTGGTGAGGGAAAGTGGGGAGTGGTGAGGGTGAGTGGTGAGGGTGAGTGGTGAGGGAGATTGGTGAGGGTTAGTGGTGAGGGTGAGTGGTGAATAGTGAGTGGTGAGGGTAAGTGGTGATGGTGAGTAGTGAGGGTGAGTGGTTAGGGGTGAGTGGTGGGGATGAGTGGTGAGGGTGAGTGGTGAGGGTCAGTGGTGAAGGTGAGTGGTGAAGATGAGTAGTGAGTTGTGAGGATGAGTGGTGAGGGTAATTAGTGAGTAGTGAGGATGAGTGGTGAGTGGTGAGGGTGATTAGTGAGGGTGAGTGGTTAGGGTGAGGGTGAGTGGAGTCAGAGAGGGTGAGTGGTGAGCGTGAGTGGTATTGTCAAAGCCCGGTTGGCTTTGACAATACCTTATTATCTGTATATATATGTAAGGTTATTAAGAAATATATTTTTCACCCGGGCAACGCCGGGTACTTCTGCTAGTAAAAATATAAAACAATAAAATTCTCACGACGTTTCGGCTGCAACATAAGCAATCATCAGGTGTAAAATCCACAGCAAGAAAATTTGAAAAAGTGGCGGTTTTTTTTCTTAACGTCAGCACCCCGGACAGCGATTTGGCTGTTGGTCAGATGGACGAGTCCATCTATGTTCGGAAAAGAGGAGGGGGGAGAAGAAGAGAATTGAATGCGTTTTGAAAGTCACCGTAAGCATGAACACAATCAATTAAGACCCGAAATGGTTTATCAAATCCTTCCAATGATTACTAAGCAAGAATCCATCTCGGTTGAAATTGTCTCTGTGTTTGTATGTGGATATCCTCATGAACGAATCTCTCATGGTAGCCAGATGGCTTGCAGAGAACCTCTGTCTTGGAGAAGTCAATATCATGTGAGCCCACTGAATTGTAACAGTGATCTGCCACGGCTGAGGTGTTTGTCCTACCGTGTTTAAAGTCTGCTTTATGTTCACGGATGCGGTCCGAGACATGTCGATTGGTTTCTCCAATGTAACTGCTACCACAGAGGCAACTTAGTTTGTAGACGCCAGGGTACTGTATATATGGAACCACATCTTTTACAGACGGGACCAGATCACGGATTTTATGTAATGTGTTGAATCGGACCTGGATCTTGTGTTTTATCAGGATTTTGGAGATCTTTTTTGCGACCCCAGCATTGTAGGGTAAGGTGATGGTCTTGAAAGGCTCCTCAACAGGATCCTTCTTGATGGTTGGAGTGATGGCTTTGCGGATTGTGTAGTCGGAGTAACCATTAGCCATAAGAGCTTGGCGTACGTGTTTTGAGTTCACTGGCAATGTGTTCCTGGTCGGAGATGCATTGGGCTCTATGGTATAGAGTCTTGATGAGGGAATTCTTCTGGGATGGATGGTGGTGGGAATCCGGTTTTAGGTAAGCATCCGTATGGGTGGCTTTCCTGTAGACAGAGTGGCTCATTGAACCATCAGGTCTCCTTTTAATTAGGACATCCAAAAAGGGTAGCTTGCCATCTTTTTCGACTTCCATGGTGAATCTGATGGCTGGGTGTATGGAATTGATGTGGTTGAGGAATTGGTCTAGAGCAGGCCGGCCATGTGGCCAGATGACAAAAGTGTCATCTACGTACCTCTTCCATAAGGTCGGGCGTAGAGTGGCAGTCTGGATGGCGTTAGTCTCAAATATCTCCATGAAAACGTTGGCTACAACCGGAGATAGGGGGGAGCCCATTGGGGTGCCCTCAGTTTGTTGGTAGAAAGTTCCATTCCAGGTGAAGTATGTATTGGTTAAGCAGTGTCTCACCAGGGGGGGTACCTCAGTATTCAGTCCTTGATGAACCAAGTCTTCAATGATTGCGATGGTGTCAGGTACAGGAACTTTGGTGAATAAGGAAACCACATCAAAACTGACAAGCAGGTCGTCTGGGGACAGGGAAACGTCGTGAGAATTGTATTTTATTGTTTAGTTTTTATTATTTTATTATTTCCCTTCTACGTGACTTTACCGAAAGAACCAAGAAGATTTACTATGTTTGTTTTATACCTGATGACGATTGCTTGTGTTGCAATCGAAACGTCCTATTCTATTATTTAATTTATTTCCTTTCTACGTTACTTTACCGAAAGAACCGAAAAGCTAAATCAAAATTCGCTGAAATAACTTAACCAACATGGTCGCTGTAGCGCCACCGTGTGGTCTCATAGTGCAACTGCAGCGCCTCAGCGCGGTAATTGTAGCAGTGGAACTGTTCGGTGTCTTCACGGCTTCATTGCAGCCAACCCGCTTGGGACAAAGGCCAGAACGCCGCCGCAGCAGCAGCAGCGACTCACAACTCGGGGGTGACGCCTGACAGCGGCAACTGCTGGCGTGCTGTGTTGGCCTACACTGCACATGTCCACCAGATAGCAGACGTCACCACGCATTGAATACTTGTCCACCAGAGGGCACACGTAGCACGTCAAGCGGCCGTTTTGCGCTGCAATTCTTTATTTCTTCACGGATAAAAAAAAAGTGGTTGGGGCGCCCCGTGCGTGGTGACGTCATCGCGCTCGGGTTGGAGCGCCTCCCTGCGTGGTGACGTCATCGCGCTCGGGTTGGTTGGGGCGACCCCGTGCGTGGTGACGTCATCGCGCTCGGGTTGGTGGGGCGCCTCCCTGCGTGACGTCATCGAGCTCGGGTTGGTTGGGGCACCCCCGTGCGTGGTGACGTCATCGGGCTCGGGTTGGTTGGGGCTCCCCCCGTGCATGGTGACGTCATCGTGTGGGCGGGGGGGCTGGTCACGTGGGCTGGTCAGAATGTATCTCACATAATACAAAATTATAATTCGTGTTGAGAATGTATCTCCTCTACGTGTAACTTTTGAGTGGTTTGCCTTGTAACAGATGAATGATCCGAGTGTGCTCCCTATTTCAAAGACAATGAGTTGCTCCAGAGGTAGATGCTTCCTGAAAACACAAAAGTACCCTTTGACCTGTATCACAAGAACAATGAGTCTCACCTGAGTTATCTGTACAGGTTACTTGCAAAACACACACTGTGTCCTAACATCACTCATTCAATGTTTGACCCTTATAGACAAAATGGTACATGTACGCACACCATCATACAAGTATTCATTCTAACTTATTGACAGGCATGTTAACAAAATTGAATGACTGCACTGAAATATACTGCATTAGGTTACATCGCATTAACAAGAAGCTAATTAAAAAATACACACCGTCTGCTTAACAGTGTATGTACAACATACTAATGCACCATTCAAAACGAGTCGGCCATTGCATGCTGGCGTCTGGGTCAAAATGTAGCAAATTCTAAACATTACCTACAAACTCCACAACTGAGATGCCACATCAACCATCGCCCCCTACTGACAGGCTCTTGTCCACATGCAGGCCGGTGCAGGGCCACCACCTTGTGCCACACAGGGGCAGCTGCTACTTGGGGATGCTCTTCGAGTGTTTGAGACGAGAAACGATACAAAACTACAAATTGTCGAGGCAATTAAGCAAGCACAATATAAATGCAATTATGATAACATAGTGAATGCTTGGGAGCTTATTGGCATTCGCTCCTGGTTAGAGATCTACCCAACACACAGGTTCACAAAGACTGGCCGCTCTTACCCTGCAGGTTGAACCTAGGAACTGAGTGTTCAACTTCACATTCTTGTCATTAAAGGCCTGTGACAAAGGTGCATCTATTGGAGCGGCATCGTCTAAAACCTTGTTGGAGGTACTGAACCCCACCAGTTTCATATGCGCATTCATAGAACCCTTCTTAATTGGAAAAATAAAATTATTTTTTCTAATTCAAAACATAGGTACATGTTTTACTGGTCAGGTGTGTGTCTTAACCTCCGCCGAACCCCTGAGACTGACTCACCGAACCCCTGGGGTTCGATCGAACTCAGGTTAAGAACCGCTGGTCTAAGGCTTACGCATCTCCCGGGTCTCCATTTGACTTTGTATTGTCTCGGAGGAAGTCCACCCACACCTCCACTTCCACAAACTGCTGGGAGTTGCCTCGCTCTGCCTCAGTCAGAATTCTCCTCCTGCTTCACGTTGCCTCCATCGATGTGAAAGTCCGATTTTGGAGTTGAATCTTCATCTTCACATTTTACCTTCACTTCTTCGCTCTTCACCATCACGTCTTCACATTCCACCTTCACCTCTTCATATTTCACCTTGATTTCTTTGAAAGTGTCCAAGCTGGGATGTTCTTCCGGTTCTTGTTTGATGAGGGATGGGCTCATTGAGGCACTTTGACTTTCACAAGCTGATTTCACACTCCACTCCTGGTGGATCTTCTGATGCTTGCGTGATCTCTGGTGTCTTTGAAGATTTGGTGAAAGTGTAAACGCCTTCTCACACACACCGCACTTGAAGGGTTTCTCTCCCGTGTGTGTTCTCTTGTGTGTTACAAGAGTAGATGAATCTGAAAACGCCTTCCCACACACACTGCACTTGAAGGGTTTCTCTCCCGTGTGTGCTCTCTGGTGTGCTACAAGAGTAGATGAACGTGCAAACGCCTTCCCACACACACTGCACTTGAAGGGTTTCTCTCCCGTGTGGGTTCTCTGGTGTTTTACAAGAGTAGATGAATCTGAAAACGCCTTCCCACACAAAGTGCACTTGAAGGGTTTCTCTCCCGTGTGTGTTCTCTGGTGTTTGACAAGAGCAGATGAATGTGCAAACGCCCTCCCACACACACTGCACTTGAAGGGTTTCTCTCCTGTGTGAGTTCTCTGGTGCCGTGTCAAATGTTCAGGACGATCCGTGCTGTATGCACACCGGTCGCATTGATGCCTTTTTGCACCGAGCTGCGCCGACTGCCTTTGCTCCATGAGACCAATTCTGCAAAGGCAGCGACAGCTGCAGACAGAAACAAAGAATATCCACACCATCTACACGTCAGTATCGAGGCACAGAGGAATGCATATACACAGTCACACGTCACTTACACGTCTATAGTTATTCATATATTTATGATATAGTAAACAAAAAGTGTCCCAAATTCATCACACGGGCTGTTATGGCACACAATGAGAGGGCAAATGGTTAGAAACGTGCCTGGAAGCCCTCGTATCTTCAAAATGAACGTTAACCCAAAAGTCAGAGCACACAATTTCAGCTGTCTGGCTTCTAAATAAATGTTTATGAAAGCTAAATTCAGCTGACATAGCAAAGGGTGTTGAAAATAATACTATTTATGTTATGCACAAATGCATAAATTAATGTTCAATCGCAACTTAGAGGTGTGAAGCCAGGCACAGATGTCCTTGATTGCTGGGATGAGCAGTTCCGACTTCAGCTGCTGCACATGTGTGCTGTGATCACTTCCTGACTCCATTCTTACAAAGAGTTCCAGAGGAAAACTAAAATAAACTACTGTTTTGATATAACCTATGTGCTCAATAGAGTTAATAGACTTTACTGCAAATACAAACTTGACACTGTCACACACTCAGAGGTGGATACAGGATTTTCAGGTAGGGGGGGGAAACCCCTCCAGCAATGAAACATTACAGGAGTTGTTAGTAAGTAAGGAGTTGTTAGTGAGAAAGGAGTTGTTAGTAAGAAAGGACTTGTCCCTTGCTTTTCATTCGACGCGTGTTGATGCCTTCAGGAAAGAAAAATAGACTTTTGTATTTTTTGGGGGGGGGGGGGGGGGGGAGGAAATGACCATGACGTATGTGGCATCAACCCGCATCACACCTGAGCTAAGCGCTCTGCAATGCTTACCCCCCTACCACATGGCTCTTCGCGCGCCGTACTTCTACAGCTGTTCACAGCGTGCCGGGAGATTTTAGGTGGCGCTTCGCTCCTGGCCGATGAAGTCATTGGCTTCTCGGAGTTTCAATACAAATCCGTGTGAAGAACGGGTACAACTGCCATCTTAAATATAAAGCAGAACTTACACCTGTTTGTTTGTGTGAAGCAGCAAAAACTCTCCATTGCCGGGCTTTGGCATCATGAAATTTTCACAGCTTTTGCTGTCTGGAATTTCGAAGTGAACGCGACTGTTTTCAGCTCGCCACGTCATTCCCTTCCCGAGTTGCCAAAATCGACATTACGTAGAAGTGGGTTAAGGTTAAATTTCCTTCAGTGAAAAACATCCGATTTAGTTAAAATTATTTCTTTCAGCTTTTCCTTCTTACAAGAATCACTTTTTCAGGGTTTTTCAGTGAAATATGAGGGAATATTAAATTAATCCAAGACAAGAATCCAAGTCCCGGGCGAAGCCGGGTAGTGAAGCTAGTTACTAATAAACCCCAATGATCGTTGGGGGGGCACGTGCCACCCCATCCACACTGGCTGAAGCACTGTCACACACTGGCAGCATGGTTCACAGGTGGTGGTGTGTCCAGACCCACGCCTGGCCACCTTCACCTGCTAAGTATTAATGCTTCCTCACTCCAACAAGTAATTCATTGAGGATCAATCAACACAGCCGAGGCTGCGTGTCTCTCTGTGGTGAGATGTTAGCTACCTGTCCTGGCATACAGGAAGTCGTGGGATCGATCCCGACCCTGACGCCTGCTGTATATTTGTAGTTTACGTGTCTCTCTCTCCCCGTGGTCGCGTGGATTTCCTTCCCGATCCCCGGGTTTCCCCTCCACATGTAGAGAGTGAACACCACCACGCGTCCAGAGTGAACACCACCACGCGTCCAGAGTGAACACCACCACACGTCTAGAGTGAACACCGCCACGCGTCTAGAATGAACACCGCCACGCGTCTAGAGTGAACAACACCACGCGTCTAGAGTGAACACCGCCACGCGTCTAGAGTGAACACCACCACGCGTCTAGAGTGAACACCACCACGTGTCTAGAGTGAACACCGCCACGTGTCTAGAGTGAACACCACCACGCGTCTAGAGTGAACACCACCACGCGTCTAGAGTGAACACCACCACGCGTCCAGAGTGAACACCACCACGCGTCTAGAGTGAACACCACCACGCGTCTAGAGTGAACACCGCCACGCGTCTAGAGTGAACACCGCCACGCGTCTAGAGTGAACACCGCCACGCGTCTAGAGTGAACACCGCCACGCGTCTAGAGTGAACACCGCCACGCGTCTAGAGTGAACACCACCACGCGTCTAGAGTGAACACCGCCACGCGTCTAGAGTGAACACCGCCACGCGTCTAGAGTGAACACCGCCACGCGTCTAGAGTGAACACCGCCACGCGTCTAGAGTGAACACCACCACGCGTCAAGAGTGAACACCGCCACGCGTCTAGAGTGAACACCACCACGCGTCTAGAGTGAACACCTCCACGCGTCTAGAGTGAACACCACCACGCGTCTAGAGTGAACACCGCCACGCGTCTAGAGTGAACACCGCCACGCGTCTAGAGTGAACACCGCCACGCGTCTAGAGTGAACACCACCACGTGTCTAGAGTGAACACCGCCACGTGTCTAGAGTGAACACCACCACGCGTCTAGAGTGAACACCACCACGTGTCTAGAGTGAACACCGCCACGCGTCTAGAGTGAACACCGCCACGCGTCTAGAGTGAACACCACCACGTGTCTAGAGTGAACACCGCCACGTGTCTAGAGTGAACACCACCACGCGTCTAGAGTGAACACCACCACGTGTCTAGAGTGAACACCACCACGCGTCTAGAGTGAACACCACCACGCGTCTAGAGTGAACACCGCCACGCGTCTAGAGTGAACACCGCCACGCGTCTAGAGTGAACACCGCCACGCGTCTAGAGTGAACACCGCCACGCGTCTAGAGTGAACACCACCACGTGTCTAGTTGAACACCACCACGTGTCTAGAGTGAACACCGCCACGTGTCTAGAGTGAACACCGCCACGTGTCTAGAGTGAACACCGCCACGTGTCTAGAGTGAACACCGCCACGTGTCTAGAGTGAACACCGCCACGTGTCTAGAGTGAACACCGCCACGTGTCTAGAGTGAACACCACCACGTGTCTAGAGTGAACACCGCCACGTGTCTAGAGTGAACACCGCCACGTGTCGAGTGAACACCACCACGCGTCTAGAGTGAACACCGCCACGTGTCTAGAGTGAACACCGCCACGTGTCTAGAGTGAACACCACCACGTGTCTAGAGTAAACACCACCACGCGTCTAGAGTGAACACCACCACGCATCTAGAGTGAACACCGCCACGTGTCTAGAGTGAACACCACCACGTGTCTAGAGTGAACACCACCACGTGTCTAGAGTGAACACCGCCACGTGTCTAGAGTGAACACCGCCACGTGTCTAGAGTGAACACCGCCACGTGTCTAGAGTGAACACCACCACGTGTCTAGAGTGAACACCACCACGTGTCTAGAGTGAACACCGCCACGCGTGTCGAGTGAACACCGCCACGCGTCTAGAGTGAACACCGCCACGCGTCTAGAGTGAACACCGCCACGTGTCTAGAGTGAACACCGCCACGCGTCTAGAGTGAACACCGCCACGCGTCTAGAGTGAACACCGCCACGCGTCTAGAGTGAACACCGCCACGCGTCTAGAGTGAACACCGCCACGCGTCAAGAGTGAACACCGCCACGCGTCTAGAGTGAACACCGCCACGCGTCTAGAGTGAACACCTCCACGCGTCTAGAGTGAACACCACCACGCGTCTAGAGTGAACACCGCCACGCGTCAAGAGTGAACACCACCACGCGTCTAGAGTGAACACCGCCACGCGTCTAGAGTGAACACCACCACGTGTCTAGAGTGAACACCGCCACGCGTCTAGAGTGAACACCGCCACGCGTCAAGAGTGAACACCGCCACGCGTCTAGAGTGAACACCGCCACGCGTCAAGAGTGAACACCACCACGCGTCTAGAGTGAACACCGCCACGCGTCTAGAGTGAACACCGCCACGCGTCTAGAGTGAACACCGCCACGCGTCTAGAGTGAACACCGCCACGCGTCTAGAGTGAACACCACCACGTGTCTAGAGTGAACACCGCCACGTGTCTAGAGTGAACACCACCACGCGTCTAGAGTGAACACCACCACGTGTCTAGAGTGAACACCGCCACGCGTCTAGAGTGAACACCGCCACGTGTCTAGAGTGAACACCACCACGTGTCTAGAGTGAACACCGCCACGTGTCTAGAGTGAACACCACCACACGTCTAGAGTGAACACCACCACGTGTCTAGAGTGAACACCACCACGCCTCTAGAGTGAACACCACCACGTGTCTAGAGTGAACACCGCCACGCGTCTAGAGTGAACACCGCCACGCGTCTAGAGTGAACACCGCCACGCGTCTAGAGTGAACACCGCCACGTGTCTAGAGTGAACACCACCACGTGTCTAGTTGAACACCACCACGTGTCTAGAGTGAACACCGCCACGTGTCTAGAGTGAACACCGCCACGTGTCTAGAGTGAACACCGCCACGTGTCTAGAGTGAACACCGCCACGTGTCTAGAGTGAACACCGCCACGTGTCTAGAGTGAACACCGCCACGTGTCTAGAGTGAACACCGCCACGTGTCTAGAGTGAACACCGCCACGTGTCTAGAGTGAACACCGCCACGTGTCTAGAGTGAACACCGCCACGTGTCGAGTGAACACCACCACACGTCTAGAGTGAACACCGCCACGTGTCTAGAGTGAACACCACCACGTGTCTAGAGTAAACACCGCCACGCGTCTAGAGTGAACACCGCCACGTGTCTAGAGTGAACACCACCACGTGTCTAGAGTGAACACCACCACGTGTCTAGAGTGAACACCGCCACGTGTCTAGAGTGAACACCGCCACGTGTCTAGAGTGAACACCGCCACGTGTCTAGAGTGAACACCACCACGTGTCTAGAGTGAACACCACCACGTGTCTAGAGTGAACACCGCCACGCGTGTCGAGTGAACACCGCCACGCGTCTAGAGTGAACACCGCCACGCGTCTAGAGTGAACACCGCCACGTGTCTAGAGTGAACACCGCCACGTGTCTAGAGTGAACACCACCACGTGTCTAGAGTGAACACCGCCACGTGTCTAGAGTGAACACCGCCACGTGTCTAGAGTGAACACCGCCACGTGTCTAAAGTGAACACCACCACGTGTCTAGAGTGAACACCACCACGCGTCTAGAGTGAACACCGCCACGTGTCTAGAGTGAACACCACCACGTGTCTAGAGTGAACACCACCACGTGTCTAGAGTGAACACCACCACGTGTCTAGAGTGAACACCGCCACGTGTCTAGAGTGAACACCACCACGTGTCCAGAATGAACACCGCCACGTGTCTAGAGTGAACACCCGCCACGCGTCTAGAGTGAACACCACCACGTGTCTAGAGTGAACACCGCCACGTGTCTAGAGTGAACACCGCCACGTGTCTAGAGTGAACACCACCACGCGTCTAGAGTGAACACCGCCACGTGTCTAGAGTGAACACCGCCACGTGTCTAGAGTGAACACCACCACGTGTCTAGAGTGAACACCGCCACGCGTCTAGAGTGAACACCGCCACGTGTCTAGAGTGAACACCACCACGCGTCTAGAGTGAACACCACCACGTGTCTAGAGTGAACACCACCACGTGTCTAGAGTGAACACCGCCACGTGTCTAGAGTGAACACCGCCACGCGTCTAGAGTGAACACCGCCACGTGTCTAGAGTGAACACCGCCACGTGTCTAGAGTGAACACCGCCACGTGTCTAGAGTGAACACCGCCATGTGTCTAGAGTGAACACCGCCACGTGTCGAGTGAACACCACCACACGTCTAGAGTGAACACCGCCACGTGTCTAGAGTGAACACCACCACGTGTCTAGAGTAAACACCGCCACGCGTCTAGAGTGAACACCGCCACGTGTCTAGAGTGAACACCACCACGTGTCTAGAGTGAACACCACCACGTGTCTAGAGTGAACACCGCCACGTGTCTAGAGTGAACACCGCCACGTGTCTAGAGTGAACACCGCCACGTGTCTAGAGTGAACACCACCACGTGTCTAGAGTGAACACCAGCCACGTGTCTAGAGTGAACACCGCCACGCGTGTCGAGTGAACACCGCCACGCGTCTAGAGTGAACACCGCCACGCGTCTAGAGTGAACACCGCCACGTGTCTAGAGTGAACACCGCCACGTGTCTAGAGTGAACACCACCACGTGTCTAGAGTGAACACCGCCACGTGTCTAGAGTGAACACCGCCACGTGTCTAGAGTGAACACCGCCACGTGTCTAAAGTGAACACCACCACGTGTCTAGAGTGAACACCACCACGCGTCTAGAGTGAACACCGCCACGTGTCTAGAGTGAACACCACCACGTGTCTAGAGTGAACACCACCACGTGTCTAGAGTGAACACCACCACGTGTCTAGAGTGAACACCGCCACGTGTCTAGAGTGAACACCACCACGTGTCCAGAATGAACACCGCCACGTGTCTAGAGTGAACACCGCCACGCGTCTAGAGTGAACACCACCACGTGTCTAGAGTGAACACCGCCACGTGTCTAGAGTGAACACCGCCACGTGTCTAGAGTGAACACCACCACGCGTCTAGAGTGAACACCGCCACGTGTCTAGAGTGAACACCGCCACGTGTCTAGAGTGAACACCACCACGTGTCTAGAGTGAACACCGCCACGCGTCTAGAGTGAACACCGCCACGTGTCTAGAGTGAACACCACCACGCGTCTAGAGTGAACACCACCACGTGTCTAGAGTGAACACCACCACGTGTCTAGAGTGAACACCGCCACGTGTCTAGAGTGAACACCGCCACGCGTCTAGAGTGAACACCGCCACGTGTCTAGAGTGAACACCGCCACGTGTCTAGAGTGAACACCACCACGTGTCTAGAGTGAACACCACCACGTGTCTAGAGTGAACACCGCCACGTGTCTAGAGTGAACACCGCCACGCGTCTAGAGTGAACACCGCCACGTGTCTAGAGTGAACACCGCCACGTGTCTAGAGTGAACACCACCACGTGTCTAGAGTGAACACCGCCACGTGTCTAGAGTGAACACCGCCACGTGTCTAGAGTGAACACCACCACGTGTCTAGAGTGAACATCGCCACGTGTCTAGAGTGAACACCACCACGCGTCTAGAGTGAACACCACCACGCGTCTAGAGTGAACACCGCCACGTGTCTAGAGTGAACACCGCCACGCGTCTTGAGTGAACACCACCACGTGTCTAGAGTGAACACCGCCACGTGTCTAGAGTGAACACCGCCACGCGTCTAGAGTGAACACCGCCACGCGTCTAGAGTGAACACCGCCACGTGTCTAGAGTGAACACCGCCACGTGTCTAGAGTGAACACCACCACGTGTCTAGAGTGAACACCGCCACGCGTCTAGAGTGAACACCACCACGTGTCTAGAGTGAACACCACCACGTGTCTAAAGTGAACACCGCCACGTGTCTAGAGTGAACACCGCCACGCGTCTAGAGTGAACACCGCCACGTGTCTAGAGTGAACACCGCCACGTGTCTAGAGTGAACACCACCACGTGTCTAGAGTGAACACCACCACGTGTCTAGAGTGAACACCGCCACGCTGTTGACGAGCCCCACCTTGTTGTTGTTGTTGTGGGCAGGTCGCTTCTGAAAACAAGAGCGGTACAGCAGCTCAAGCGGGCGTGGCCTGGTAAAAAAAACGAAAAAAAAAACGGTGTTAGTATAGAATATTTAAACAAAGGTAAAAAGTGGCGATCCGGGTCAAGACAAATTAAACTTAAGCGAGAGAATTGAAGCGAACGCGACCAGGCGAGGGCAGGAGGCAAGGCCCCGCGTTGTAAAGTTACAACGTGGACATCGCTTCCATGCTCGCTGCTACTCAAATAACATACCCTACGAGAGAGAGCGAGGCTCTACCTCGGTACACAACAACAACAACCACCACCACAACCACCACCACCACCACAACAACCACCACCACCGCGATGAGAATTTCTCACCTCGGATTTCAGTGCACGGGCCGAGCGGCGACTTCCTGGTCCCTCGTGACGTCACGCGGCAGCAGGTGACATGACGTCACTTGCGGGGTACGATGACACTCCCCTCCCACAATGAGCGGCCCTCAACTCGCGACGGCTTTCATGAATAAATTATGTTAATGAGCCGCCAGTCACCGGGCGTGGCTTTGCCAAAATAAGGATTGGCACTGGAACAGTTATCGGCAGCGGCTGGGTGGATGTGACGTCACGCTCAAGAGCACGGTGGTCGGGGGGTGAGTGACATGACGTCACTATCGAGGCACACCTCCCCCTGGCGTTTGACGCCGATGAGGTCACGCTGAGCGGTGACGTCAGAGAGCGGGGTCAGAGTTCAAGTTTGTTGTTGTTGGCAGTGACGTGGTGAGCGCTGCGCTCCGCACCGACCAGCCGAGTTCCATTCCCGCTCGTGGCCAACGCCGCCAGTGACCACTTTCTGAGCCGGTCCTGGGCCTCCCCTAAGTCGACTCAGCCTCAAACGAGTACCCGGTGCGGTGTGTCAACATCGCCAGCACTGGGGAGACAAAGGCGGCCGGGCGTGGTGCTGGCCACCCACCCCCTCGTGTGCCATCCCATCCTTAATAGGTGCTCACTAACAGCACTTGCCGCAACATTCTGTGCAGGCTATACGGGGGTCTTTGTGTTAGGTGCTCACTAGCAGCACTTGCCCCTACAGTCTGTTAAGGCTATACGGGGAATCTTTGTCTTTGTGTGTTGGGAGCAAGTTTGAGTGGCGTGCAGCCGTGGGAGTTGAACGGGCACCTGCTGCTACTGACAGTCGTTGACTGCGGTGGGACAGACGCTGATAGACAAACACAGACAGACAAGACAGGAAGACAGACACAGACAAGAGGAACACAGAGACAGAGAAAGATACGCAGAGACGACATCGACAGAGAGACACAGAGGCAAACAGAGAGACAGACGGACAGAGATGTTAAATCGAACTCACTGAACTCGCTCCATTGAAAGAGATTCCTCGATCTTTGCCCATCCCCGGAAGTCGTTCGAGTTTCTATTTATTTCCCTGTGTGGTGTGTAGTGTAAGCAATGTGGGATATCGATGTACACAGATATGAACATCAGCAGACAAGACGTCTTTCATTTATCAGTCTCTCCGCGAAACAAAGCAATGTTTTACACAAAATATAATTACTGCAGCATTCAGTGCAAGTCAACTGTGGACCGGTTTTGGTGTACAATTTATACGTGAATATATAAGCACACGACTTCATTTATCTGTGACGAACGATGCACTTTCCATCGCTTTCATGTAGGGGGCGCTGCAAACCTACGCGCCCCCTGCATGAACGACGGAGGCGCAGGGACAGGCATTCGATCGCGTTGGAATCGATCTGCAGACGGCGTTCTTCTCCCAACCAGGTGAAAGTCCGCATCAAACAGAATCCGCGGCAAGG